CCGAATAAAAATATTTTTTTTAAGTACCTACTATTTTTGTTATAATTTTTAAACATTTTACTTTTTGATCATGCATTTTTTGATTCAAATTCATTATTCGTATTTCTTTGTTTTGAAATCAAAATTCTGCCAAGTAAAGTATTTACAGTTTATATGAGCGGAATAGTGAAAAGACTTAAAGGGTACCCCTGTACCACTCTATTTTGCTCATCTAAACTGTAAATACTTATAACTACTTGGCAGAAAATTAATTTCAAAAAATTGAATACCCAGAGAATATGGATTTAAAATTATATGGTCTCATTCAAAAAAGTAAAAAGTTTAAAAATGATAACTATAAAATAGTATCAAAATTGAATGTTCATGTATTTAAATACTACTAAAAATGTTATGTTTCACAATATGATATTAAAAATGTATGTTGACTTGTAAAATGTATTTTAGGAACTTTTAAAGAACTTTCCGTAATAATGATTATGGACACTATAATATTGTATAATTCTGTTTTTACAGTGGTTTTTTAATTATTTTATAATTTTTATGATAATCTAGTTTTAAGTGAGTTATGAGCATTTTTGATTGACGTTATATTATATCCGTCCTTTTAAAAACCAATTAAAAAAATGTATAGGTATATAATTTGTATTGTTTATTTATTTATTTTAATTTCAACTGTTGATCTGTATGAATGATACAATTCAACAATTTGTTATGTATAAATGACTAAAATACATATGAAAAATATTTTCAAAGATGTTGGTAAGTTAATAAGTATTTAGATGTGGAGAACAAAAACAAAAATTGTATTTTTAAAATATATAACTTTCTTTATTGTGTCCAATTTTTAAATAAAAATGTAACTATTATTATTAGATTACTTGGTTACTCTTTGTATTCATTGTTAATAAAAAAAAATTATTATTACACAATGATGAATTATGTTTTATTTGTATCCCAAAAGTGTCACCTATATTCTTTAATTATATAAAAAAAACATGAGTTAAGTATATATTTTTTGAATTCATTTAGTTTTTTATAGTTGTGTAATTGTGTTCTATTTGTTTTACACCAATATTGTACAGTAATAAAATAAAATATATTCCAAAAAAAATCAGTTTTTTACCACATATTAACTATTGATTTTATTTTGAATGTTACATATTTATGTGTGGTATATTTTAATATCTTGTTGGATATTTATGAGTTAATCTAAATCTCAATAAAGTTACCAAATATGGTATTTAAAAAGAAAAGAAGAATATAATCTGTTGAAAATAAATACAAATATCTTGATATTTGAATCATATATTCTTGAATAGACCAGTCTTGGTTCTCTAACAGGTCCAGATATTTAGAATAAAACACATAATGGAACTGTATAATTTTATGATACTCCAAAGGTAAATGTCTTTCTATTCAGCCAGTTTTAAAATATAATAACATAAATAACAGTATTCCTAATTGCAAATATAAATAAATAAATAAAATATTTAACTGATCTATTGTATTGTAAGAGGTAAATTTAAGATTTATTTTCTGGGCAACACTGATGCTTGCATTCAATATGGTGGACCTTCTTATCAGTTTTCCATAAGAATAATGTAATTTTTTGAGAAGTGACCATTCTGATTTAATCTATTCTGTGCTACGACCGGCCAAAAACGAGTATCTACTATTAACGGAAAAACAGATATGTTCCAAAGGGGGGACAATTGAGCACATTTACAGCGGTTCAGTATTTCCACTTTGGACCGTCACAAAAACTACAATTCTCGTACCACCTGCATAAATAGCATATCTCGTTACCTCCACTATCAACCCTTAGTGTTTTTGAGAACAACTAGTCCAAATAAAAATAAAATATTATTTAAAATATTATATATTTTACGTATTTGTTTTTAAGGTGGTACAAATTAAAAGTTTATTGATTTAAATCTCATCTGGATTACATAATTTAGGGATTATTCTTGTTTTTCATTGAAATGTCTATGAAGTCTTTCCTCGTATAGTTTTATTTTTTGCTTCTGAGTTTGTTTGTCGGCTTTCGTTAGTTTAATTGGTTTAAATTTCCCATCTGGAAATTGAGTTTGGAAGGGCTTTATTTGGTGTACTTTATATTTATATTCATATTGATGTAATCTGCCATATGGGAACTTGACATAAATGTCTTCCCCGTCTATTCGTGTTATAAATCCTGCTAAATATGGGTCAGTTGGGATTGTTGCATTTACACCTTCTCCAACCACAAACAGGTGTGATGCATCTCTACAATGTAAGTGTTCAACCGATTCATTCAGTCTGCCGTCCTCATCTTGTGTTTCTGCTATCTATTAAATAAATTAATTGTAAACTAGTTTGAAATTAAAAAAAAAACAAAAATTAAACTATAATATATTATATTATACTATAATGTATTATATTATTTATAAAATTTTAACAAAATTTACTTCATTGCATAACCGATCAGCGTCGTCATTTTTCGGTGCTTCTTGAATTCGTCTGCGGTTACGGCGCGGTGGTGAGAGTTCAACATAGTCTTCACAAACTGCTCTTTTGCGGGGTAAACATGGTTGATGTTCGTTTGTAGTTGGATATGTTGGATAAAAATATGATTCATGGACAAGATGAATATCGCTCAGCGTTTGACATGACGGTGTAAATCTATATTCGTCCATTGGATTGAACCACCTGTCTAGTTTGATATCATATTTGTCAAAGTCACTCCGAAAGAACTTACAGTTTTTATCCCTTGATTGACGAGTGTTAGGAAACATTACCTACAGGAATTATAATCCGATTCTAATTAAAAATATTAAAGGTACGTCTGGATGAAACACTTACATTGATAAGTGTCTGTGGCTGACGAATCCATGCTCCTACCAAATCTGAGATCTCTGGAGATTTCGGCGGGGATCTGAATAGCACATCAAATATCTCTCGTACTGTTTTAGACAACTCGCCACGATGGTCACGGAGCATTTGGGCATGCCACCAATAATCGTCTGCGGTGACTTCTGTCACATCCTCCTCGCGTATCTTGAAATTAATTCTCTGATAATTAGTCCAACGAATTTTTTAAAATGCATTTAAGTGTATAAATTTGTGTTGAGTGTTTTGTATGTATAAGATATGTAGATATGTATAGAAATAAACAATTAGTGTTGTCATTGCAACAAATTGTTATTCGCATTTAGCCGGTTGTAGTATAATGAATTTTGCACTTAGCGCTCTGAAAGTGGTATGGTTGCATTCGGGAGGTCCTAAGCTATGTAGGCTTTGCATTGAAAAAATGCACAAGTGTCTAAAACGGCCGTCCGGCAGCTAAGTATGAGATTTACCGCTGGATTGCAACCAAAAAAATCATTTTTCCAGTTATAAGTCCTGGACGGCGTAATTCTAAGTTGTTAACTTTGAAACTTTTACACCGTGTAGCCGACGTGTATACCAATCGATAGATATACTATTTATAAAGGTGGTACAAGAATTCGAGTTTTGGTGACGGTTCAAAGTGAATTTACCGTCGGGTTGCCACGCAATATTGCGGTAAAATGAATATAGACGCGTTTAGACGGTCGTAATAACTCGAGTTTTGGACTTAGAGCTCTGCAAGTGCTATGGTTGCATTCGGGGGGGCCTCAGCTATCTAGGCTTTGCATTGAAAAAATGCCCAAGTGTCTAGAACGGCCGCCCGGCAGATAAGTATATGTTTTACCGCATGCTTGTCATGCAATCTAGCGGTAAATCGTAAATATTCGCCTTTAGACGATCGTAGTATGTCGAGTTTTGGACTTAGAGCTATGCAAGTGGTATGGTTAGATTCGGGAGGTCTTAAGCTATCTAGGCTTTGCATTGAAAAAATTACCAAGTGTCTAGGACGGCCGTCCGGCAGCTAAGTATGATATTTACCGCCGGTAGATCCTATACTTACCTGCCGGACGGCCGTTATTTGGACTGGTTGTTCTCCAAAACACTAAGGGTTGATAGTGGAGGGAACGAGGAATGCACTCATACCGTTTTCATGACGCTAAGTCAAAACCCTGATGTTTTACGATTTTTTGAACTGGGACATATCTATTTTGCCACCAGATTGCAATGCAACCCAGCGGTAAATCACATGCTTACCTCCAGGGCAACGTCTTGCGATTCCGTTTCTTTCATTTTGTCGAGAAGCGCAAGAAGTTCTACTATTTTCGATCTTGTAAATGTCAAGTGTTCTTCATCTCTCCGCACCCGTTGTTTTAACGATAAACATTCACGTTTGTCATTTTTAAAACTTTTTTTTGTAACTTTGTACTCTTTCATCATTTTTTCTTGTTTTTCACCTTCTACGTTCATTAATTTTTTGATTTCTGAAAAATTATTGACGACCGCTTTAGTTTTTTGCAATTTCAGCCCACTAGTCGATGCAATTGGAAACATTGTGAAAAATGTTAAAATATAAAATAAAAATACAAAATATTAATAACGCTCGAGACACTGTGCGAAAATGCGATAAACGGAGACACAGGGATCGGTTCGGTTTGCGATCGGAAAGACGGTTAGTGCTGTCGAGCTAAGCAAGAAGACTGATACCGTGTAATAATCGTTTAGAAATTAGGTCACAATTTTTAACGATATATGCCGTTCATTAAGGGCCGGCCCACAAAAGGTCGGGGGTAGTGAACTCGGAGGTAGTGGCGGCGGTCAAAGTCCACGCGCTTACCGATCGCTATCGAGTTAAGAATAAAATAATAATAATTTAATAAAATAAGAATCGAGCCGTATCGATTGAAATATAAATATAAATATTTATTGAATTTTGTAATTAAAAAAAAAATACAAAAAAAAAATAATTTATTTCTAGTATTACTATTGAGTATTGTCTGGAAGACAATAATACTAATACTAATATCGGAGATGGATGAAATATAAATATCGGTTGTTATTTTTTTTCTATATAATATCTAATAGAAATATATTTTTTGTTTTAACGCTAAACTCGTCCGATTATATTTTTTTTTTCATCTAACGTCGATGCATGCAGACGTGACGTTTGTTAAATAGTCACTGCAGTGATATTTTAAATTTATTATATAGCCGTCCATCATGGACAACACGCGTTTGGCGTCGATTTTTAAAATATTTACTCTATGTTTTTCTAAATTGTTCAAAGCTTTCATTATTATTCTAGAACTCAAATACATTTTGACTATGTCGACGTTGCATCTGGAATTTTCAGAATCGCATGTGTGCAAACATTGTAAATCGTCGTAGACTCTTTCTACCAAATGTTTTATATCTGGATAATTTACAAATTTTTTATAATCCGTACTATTGCCTGTCGGCTTATCCGAGAGAACTATATCCGTAGTGTTTTTAAGCGCCGAGGTCACGGAATTTATAAGATCTGCACAGCTTGTGAGATATATATTTGTGGCATTGCTGTCTCCGTCGATCGCGGTGTCTACGCTCGTAACCGATGACACATAGTCGTTATCGTTTGACGTCGTGTCGTCTGGGGATCGTTGAGTGATATCCGTCACCGATGTCGTGTTATCTTTGTCGGCTATCCTCGCTATCGGCGCCCATTCCCAATCTTCTCGTCCGGTGGTCAGATGAAATATATTTATAAATCCTAGAGACAACAATACCAATACAAATCTGTCGTTGTGATTATTCATGATTATTTCGATAGAAATGTATAATTTTTATATCGACCCTATACGATATAATATTGTGTGTTTGCTCAAAAGTCTTGTTTCTATTGACACTATATTTACGTAGTATAAAATTATCGCGAAACAAAATGCAATACAAGTGCGATATTTCTAAAACTATATAAACGTATGGTATATGTTTATAATACTATGTCTTTGTCGCTGTACAGCGATCGTATTTAGAAAAAAAAATCAAATACTACAGTATTAAATATATTAATCGCACTGTCTACGTGTGACTACTATATTATTGTTCGGCAATATAAACGTATATAATCGGACACGAGTGTTCGCACCTAATCAGTCAACCGGTGTGCACAAAACCGTCACGGTCGTGCTCGCGATAAAAAGTATTAAAAAAAAGAAAGTCGCGATGGTTTCTCAAAACGTAGTGTCGGGACCTCTTTTTTTGACGAACAAACTGAGCATAAGGCGGTTAGATTATCGCATTCACGATTTTCAATTACGCGATCATTTTCTGTCCGTGGAAAATATATACGTCCGGAATTGTTCTTGTAACAATCATTCGCACAACAGAAAACCGTGTGTGTTGAGCGAAGAACCGGCCTGTAAGAAATGTGATAAACCGTTTACATGTTGATGCAATATCCGACGTTGATGTTTCACGCAAACGAATTGAAAAACTGTCGACTGTTCGAATGTTGTGCGGCGTGTCTCAAAGCAATCGGAGACCTACTTCGTGCACGTGGAAAATCGCTCGACGACTACGATCTACCCAATCCAGACGAAGATCTACTGGGACCGGATCAGGACGACCTAATGATCGGTGCAATAGACGCGGCCGTTGTCTGGCAACAACGATTGCGCGACTTGAACGACGAACAGCGAACGGTCTACGATAGAGTGATGGCGGCCGTCGACGACAACCGCAACGTCCAGAAAATGTTCTACGTCGACGGCCCAGGAGGCACGGGAAAAACGACGCTGTGACTGTGCACTCGACTTTCGGATTGCCATTGGGAACGCTGACCGAACAGTCTACTTCGAGCATCAAGTTGCAGTCTTCGCTGATTGTCTGGGACGAAGCGCCCATGTCCCCGGGCATACAATTCACGGTAGTCGATCGCTTGCTCAAGGACATCATGGGATCGGCGCTACCGTTTGGTGGTAAACCAATACTGTTAGCTGGCGACTTCAGGCAGATATTGCCCGTCGTTCGCCGGGGGAACAGGAGCTCCATCGTCATGTCATCTATCAAACAGCACTCATTGTGGAGAGACTTTCATCAGTTTCGGCTGACGAGGAACATGCGCGCCAACAACGACGCCGACTTCGCTGCTTGGCTACTTCAGCTCGGTAACGGTCAACTGCCGTCGGTCGACGGTATTCCGGACACTGTTGAAATCCCACCGCAACTAGTTTGCGACGTTGTGGATTTGACCGATTTTGTCTATCCGCAGAAAATGTCGTTGGCCAACGTCGACGAGTTCGCTCGGAGAATCATACTGTATCCCCGCAACGAGGAATGCCACCAAATAAATTCCACAGTGCTACGAAGCATCACGGACGCCCAAATGACGTACTCCTCCATAGACACAGTGGTGATCGACGACGCCGACGAAGCGGCAAACTACCTTACAGAGTTCCTCAACGCTCTGCAACCGAACGGGCTACCGCCACACAAGTTGACACTCAAGGTTGGTTCGATCGTCATGTTACTGAGAAATATTGATACGAACCGACAACTGTGCAACGGGACGTGGTTGGTGGTCATTGAACTGCGGCCACACAACTTCAAGGGGAGGAGGTTGTCCGGCGCCGACGACGCGCAGGACTACATAATTTTACCCGCCACTTCGATGATTTCCGGTGAGGAAGACAATTTGCCTTTTCGAATGGAGCGGATTCAATTCCCAGTACGGTTGTTGTTTGCCATGACAATCAACAAGTCCCAGGGTCAAACGTTTGACAACACATTTTTCATATAAAGCTGGTATATATGTTTTGGATATAGAGTGTCTATCAGGAAGAATATAGTTTGGATTTAACAGTTTCACAAATTCCTTAAACCCTTCATCTTCTACTACTCTAAATGGTTGGTAGTCTTTTGTAAATAATTTTAAAAGAGCCCCATCAATTTTTTTTTTACTATCAACAGTCATTCTTTTAGGAACATAACCAATTATACTAGTTTGCTTACCTTTACGTGCAACTTCAGTTGGCCTCGACATACAAATACTGGCTGATGAAGATACAGGTGCCATTGATGATCCAGATGTAGAAGGTTGAGGATCACGAGTTTCTGAGTCGTCTGGATTGTCAATATTATCATGGTGTGTGTTCTTAAAAATATAAATATAAACATTAAGTTAAATTACTTTTTATGCTTTTTTTGTTTATTATATTTATGATTGAAACTTACTTGATTTTGACTCACTAGATTATTGGCTGGTGAACAGTTTATTAAGTGTCGGTTGGATAAATGTTTTTTAAAATTTGTAAGTGTGGATTTATAAGAGTATTTACGTTTACAAATATCACATTTTGCGTGAATTCCATCAATTATAGTAAAATGTTCCCAAACACTACTATATCGATTATTATCAATGTTAATATAACTAATTACTATTTATTAATATGGATTTTACTAAAACAAAATGTAATTACAGAGATGGACTTGATCAGATCACAACTCAGAATACTTATGAAGAAAATAAAACAGACCAAATATGTCTTATCTGGTTTCTTTTTGCAATAAGTACAGACATGCGAGAACAGGAATACTTTTTTAGTTAAAAATATGTTCAAATAAAACCTATAATTACATGAAAAAATAAAATGACTATAAATAGAATCGTTTTAATTATTTGTGGTATTCATTGACATACAACAATGACTATTTTAGTTTCAGTTTCAGTTTATAGAAAACCATTAAATATTATATTAATAGATAATAATAATATGTAAAACTTTTATTATTTATGTAATTTAATAGAAAGAGTAGGAAAATTGAACTTTTAAAGTTATTTGAGAATATTTACATGATTATCCATATTTTCAGTCAATATTACCTTAGGAGAAGGAAAAATAAAATAAATAAACCATTTTATTCATAATAGGTATACTTTAATTTTCAATACATACTATACATATTAAATATAATATTGTGTTCACATTTTAGGTAGAATTATTTTAGTATAATATATTTTCATAGCTCATAATAAATAATTGATAGTCTATTATTTTTCTGTAATATTTATGGAACAAAATTATTTGTTGATTGTTTTATTTTTCAAAATTAATATTTTTTAAATTATTAAATAAATATCCACATAAGAACATTTTTAGATTCTAAATTTCTGAATGGAGCATTGATTTAACTTTTTTTTGTTGTGTCTGTCGTCTGAAGACATTTTTTCTAGTAGAAATAATGCTCCAATCTTCAACATTGAAAAAGATTCCTGGTTGTAAATTATATCTAGTTTGTGCTTTGAAAAGTTCAAAAGTACAAAATTCTAATTCTACTTTATACATCCTCGAGAAAAAAAAAAAAAAAAATCTCATCACTACTTTTTAATAATATCATAATAATAATTATTTGGTCATCATGGTCCATATAACAATTTTTATTCAAAAAATTTTAATATTTTTAAAATTATTTTTTAATGTTTGGTTTTGGTACTTAATCTTAGGGAAACCTGTTTAATTGAATACAATGATTTATCATCGAATTCAAATGTATTATTACATCAGTTACAATGACCTAAGTTCTCAATAAAAAGGTAAAATGGACACATACTGTACACTGTACAGCAGAGCAGATAGTTACACATCTAATTGTACACTTTTTAAATAAATATAGCCTATATATATTTATACTCATATTATAATGAATAGTGACTGGTTTAATAATTGTACTTATGCACTTAATAGTTTCGAATGAGCGAATATTATTACCTATTTAGAATAGGTACCTACCTATGGTATATGATTAGGTGGTATACTACTATATATATGTACATTGTACTTGTGCAATAAAATATAATAAAACCTTATAATTTAACTATTAAAATGTTTTTAATTATACTATATAGGTTAGCTGTTAAACTGAATACTGATAAACACTATATTAAATAATATATAGTATATACCGAAAAATAACACTATATAGTAACAGTAACAGCATTTTTCTAATAACAGTATTATACAGGAACAGTATCAATCAATATTCATTATTCAATAACAGTAACTGTTATTTTCACTGTTATTTTTTGAGTAACAATAACAGTTTGTAACAGTTACAAAAATTGATAACAAGTTGCCATCACTATTTGTGACTATGTCCATGGTGCCGTCTGTTGCTTCCCCTGTTTGGGGTGTCGCTGTGGCGGGGTTGGTGTCTGCGGTGGTGGTGGTGGTAGTGGCGGTGGTGGTGGTCCCTTCTCACGGCGGGTAGTAGTGTCTAAAAAAATAGAAAACGCAATAAGTGATCGTGATACAACATAACACACACTCACCCGGACAATCGACAATCAGGTGCCCTGTTTTTCGACAACTGCAGCACCCTGAAACACAAATTAGGCGATACACCTTTTAGTATCAGTTACTCTAGAATTTGTATTTTGTATACATCTACTTACTTCATTTATCTTTTTGTTTTTGTAAACGCTTCCGGACCCTGCCGGAAGCGTTACCCATCCCGCCGTGCACGTGGCGGTGGTAAACAGGTGCATTATACACCTGTATACCACTCGTGCTATAATTGTTTATTTGTTTGGTTACTTTCATTCTAAAAATAAACAATGACACCAATTAATAATAAAATTAGTCATTTTTGCTGACACTATGCCACTGTTGTGCCGTGACGGGTTGGCCATGTACAACTAATTATCAAAATGTCACGAGGCGGTTTTCGAACATTAGTAATGAGTTAACGAATACAATTTTGCAAAAAAAACAAAATCAGACACGTGGCCAACAGTAATCAATAATCATAGAGTATTAGCATTGATTATCGATAGTGTGCTGTTAGTTCTACAGTAAATAAATTAATTTATCATTGGACTAAATACTAAGGAGATTATCTATGTTCTCTCAATCGACTTTTTACGATATTTAAATTTTTAGGCGAGTTATAACAGTTGTGTCAAATAGGATAAGACAATGATGCACAGATAATAGCTAATAGGTCAATTCACTCGATCACAACAAACAGCACACTATTTACAGTGGTAAAATAAAAATGTATTAAAAGGTAGTTTGAACATAAATCATATTTCACCCGCAGAAATAAAATATAATATAATGAAAATATATATATATATATAGGTAATTATAAAAAAGTTACGGGAAGGTTAGTGAATATTGGTAGTGAATTAACCAACACAATTATACACAAATTAGACATGTGCCAAAAACAAAATCAGAACACATGACGTACAGTAATCATAGAATATTAGGTATAGTTAATTCAACAAAAGCTTGAGTTTTCAAACACATAATATCCTACAGACGTGCTGCGATCCAGTTAAGAAGATACCCGCATAATATTATGTTGTCTCCGTCTTACACATGTGCGATATAGTTAATTTTCGTTCGACGGTTTCAATAGTGTGCTATATATTAGTTTTACGGTGAACTCAACTATTAGTATTATTAATTGAAAATTGAAAACTAATATAAGAAGATAATCTGTGTCCTCTCGATCGATTTTTTACGACATTTTAATTTTTAAACGAACTATGTGTATGTGTAATGCAAAATATAAAATAATAATAATGCACAGATATAATTTCCTAAAATATTTATAAAAATTATAAAAACCAATTACAAACAGCGCACTATTTAATCTGGTCAACTAAAATTTACTACGGAATACGATTTACATTCATTCAAATGCACACGTGCCCATAGTCATACATTCAGACCTCATAAACAATTAAACGAAATTGTATTGTATAAAGAGGTGTTTAAATATTGATCGAGATACAATTAAATATATTATATAAGTATTAAAAAGTGTTTGAGCATAAATCATTTTACTCTACCAAGTTAAACTAACATGAAAAAAAACACCGGGACACAAGGCCAGTATAAGAAGGTACCTACAATAAGGAATTAAATACGTTTACTTACTCGAACGGCGTCCAAATGTCAAATGAAATATGTCCGGCGTTCGTCACCGATCATACATCCTGTCCGCAAAAAATGGATTTCCCATCACTCCATTAAATTAGATGGGACATCGGTCGTATCGACAATTACACGATAACGCGAAAGCTTCGTGTGAGAGAGATCGATAGTGACTACAGGTAGACAAACAGAGACCGTCACGATACACGCGCCTTAGATATCATCATTATTGGTCATTACACACCGTTCGACCGAATTATACGTTTTTACGCTGACATAATTTTTCCCTTCAGAAATTATTATGTTAACAATATCATACCTATGAATACACGAATAGACATACTAATTTTTTAACGTATACGGAAGGTATAACCGCGTATGATCCATATTATATTTTTTGACGATGGCTGTAACATTTAAACTATATTACTGTGACATTTAAACTAAAGTACCTATCTGCAATACATACCTGATATACCGTTGAAAATTGTACGCGATCGACGACCTCGGAGTACCTACCTGGGCGACTTCGATGAACGTACATCGAATATTACATGAGGCATCCACTTGCTAGACACTCCAACACGATTTTAAACTTGACATTTTGCTCCACAAACAAAAAAGGCACCGGACATGCAACGGAAAACAACACTGACACAGAAAGTTCAAAAATTTAAACATTCCCGCCAAACCACCAAGCGCTATCACTAATCATTATCAGCCATACATAAACATAGATATTAAAGAATGGATAGGCCATTTGTCGTTATCACATACTCGACTACATCATTAACATTCTACTACGACCACAGTTAGTTGTAGAACTACGACAAAGTCGGATTGTTCATCATTCATATAGGTAGATGGTAGTCGAGTTTCACTTATAGGCTATAGCCGTTTAATGTATGTAATACTTGCCCAAATGATTTTCTGTTGTACAAATAGGTGGACAACTTCAAAGTTAATCGATTTTCACTTCAGAATTCAGGTTACTGACTTGCTAGACACTCCAACACGGTTTTCGGCTTTACATTTTTTACATTTAAACATATTTACACATAGCAGCTACGGAAAAGCACCGGGACATATACGTTGGGGAATCGTATCATTGTATTGCTGACTTTCATGGATCATGGGAGATTTCTAGACATTAAAACTCGACTTTTAAACTTTCCCGCCTTCGAAACGCGACCGCCAAAGAGCCAGAGAGTCTTATCACAAATTCCTAACACCAAATCACCTTCGACTACCAACCTATCACCTTCATTATAATTCGACTATGTCTCCAAAATAAGGTACTCAATTACAAGTAACACTGGGGGGTCCGGGGGTCAGGCCGGATCAAAAAACCCAGCCCGAGGCGAAACGACAAAGATGTATCACCGCCCACACAGTCTTTCCGCCGTAGGATGACAAACGCCAGAATCTAGTATAATATAATATAATATAATATATTATATTATATTATATTATATTATTTATATATATACATATATATATTTGCACTACCACACGGATGATTGCCGGCGATCGGCCAGACTCCAGCTGTCAGCTCAGTGCATACAGGGTTTTTGATACTTTTACACGAAATTAGCAGGGATGGTAGCCAAGAACATTTGCAATATAACAGTGAAGGTTTCAAGTCGGTAGTACTATTATTTGGTTAGTAATTAATTTTTGAAATCAAAATTTGCACAACTACCGGTTGATTGTAGGGCGATCGGCCAGACTCCAGCCGTCAGCTCAGTGCATACAGGGTTTTTGATATTTTTACACGAAACTAGCAGGGATGGTAGCCAAGACCGATTCCACACCTTCTGCATTAGATAACACACGTCTCCAGCTACCCCCTCCCGTCATTTGCATGTAAAAAAAATAAAAACCCTGTACACAGTGAGCTGACGGCTGAAGTCTGGCCAATCTAGCTACAATCACCCGGTAGACATGCAAACATTACTTTAATAACTTAATTAAAAATCGAATAATATAACGACCGATTCCACACCTTCTGCATTAGATAACACACGTCTCCAGCTACCCCCCACGTCATTTGCATGTAAAAAAAATAAAAACCCTGTACACAGTGAGCTGACGGCTGAAGTCTGGCCAATCTAGCTGCAATCACCCGGTAGACATGCAAACATTACTTTAATAACTTAATTAAAAATCGAATAATATAACGACCGATTCCACACCTTATGCATTAGATAGCACACGTCTCCAGCTACCCTCCCCGTCATTTTCTCATAATATGCACTACCGCGGTAGACACGAATATTTGAATACCAAATTAAAAATCAAAATTTTGTACTACAACTTAGCCAATCATATCCCTGAATTCGTTAGGATGTTTTGAAAACAGTATCCCTCGACTCTAAATACCGTTATCAACCTGTCTATCTTAAATTGTGGTATCGTCCAAGATTGTATATCTAAAACCACGGATGTACATATACGTCAGTGTCTTAAACCGTGGTATCGTCTATTGGTGATTGAAAGCTTATCAATTATCAATTACCTTATCAATTTCAATCGCCATATCCTAGTTAGTAGATTTGGCCTAGTCATTATGTAATTTACTCATTGCATTACAGTATTTTACTAATTTCACATTTTCACCTACTTAGCGGTAAGTTCATTTTAATGATCAATAATATTATAGTAAAAAATAAGGTATAACCATTAGACCAGTCATGCCCAACCCGCGGCCCGCGGGCCACATGTGGCCCGCCAAGGTATTCCATGTGGCCCGTTACAAATTGTTAAAATAAAACAAAATATTCCAAAAAAAGTAAAATTATTACAAAATACGATTTTAATTAATTTATAAATAAAAAATGCAATAATAAAAATAAAAATAAAAAGTATATAAAAATGTTTTTAATGTGAAATTTGAACTTTTGTTTCTTTGACTAATAATGAAAAATCTGGTTGGAATTTAGTTGTTTGAATCCTCAAAATTGAATGAAGGTGTTCATCCGTAAGTCGCGATCTATGAACTGATTTTGTTTGTTTCATCCGTGAAAATATTTGTTCACATATATACGTCGAGCCAAATACAGTTGCCATTTTCATCATAATGTCTTTCAAAGCAGGGAAATCTTCGTGTGAAAGCGTTGAATAAAATTTTAAAATATCATTTTTTTTCATTGTTTGAAATTCATCATAGTAAAATGAATTTGTTTTTAACTCGATAAGTTCAAGTTGAAAAGAAGTATCGACATCAATTTCATCAATATTGAATGGATTTTCAAATAAACGCAACGATTTTTCGTGTAATTTAACATCTGAAAATCGAGATGAAATATCGGTTTGCAATTTGTTTAACATACATACAAATCGATTTGTTGAACATAATGATTTTGTGTTATTCTTAAATATTTGGCAGTTCTCAAAATGACTGAAATAGAAATTTTATGATTTAAAATCGATATCACCCGTAAAGAGCGTACTGATCAAGTTAATGCGTACCTACAACGTGTACCTCAATTTGTAATCTGTGCTATACTCAATAAAAAAGATAAGAAAACCAGTCCAACATGTACCTCCATATTATATTGCAACCTACGATGTGTAACTAAATTATATTAAGATTGAGAATATGAGTACTTTTATATTTGGTGGCCCGCTAGATTACAAATGTTTACCAAAGTGGCCCGCCGAGGCAAAAAGGTTGGGCATCACTGTTCTAGAATAAGAGATTTACTAGAGGATGGCTTAACTGAGCATAATATTTGGTCAAAATCATTTATACAATTTGCACCAGGTGAATGCTGAAAATAATTCAAATACAGCATTTTTTTTAAATGCCCATATAAATTGGATTGGTGTATGGTTCAAACAATTGCCTTGCTGTAGGCGAAAGGAACCAATTAAATTTTCCAAGCCGTCCTGATTGAGCCCACCAGTGTATAAGACATAATCTTTGTTTTTTGATGCTTTTAATGATTACCACATCATTTTTAAAGCCACTATCGAGATTAACCATCCATTAATAAAGTTCATCCGCTTAGTTTCATCTGTACCATTATACTTATGAATTACTAGTAAGTTTTTAAAAACCCCTTCCATTTTATTTAAATGATTGATTTGGGCTTCTGTACCCTTAAACGGCCGATTGTATTATTTTCTTTTAGGAATCTTGGAAGAATTGAATATATCAAATAACTTGTCCATTTCACATATGCAGTCTATCGTAAATTGGGCACAAGGCGGTAAAATACCAGCTACTAAAGCAATCGACATACCAGAAGCAACAGTTCCACTAAATACTTGTGTAGCCAAATATACCCTCATTTTTTCAAAAGGCCCTGTGTATATATGAGCATACGTCAATTTTGGTGCTAATCGAAGATTACATTTGGAGTCATGATTGTAAAAAGAAATAAGATGGGCTTTATTAACAACATTATCATTAATTTGAAAATTATGTTTAAATAACATGTTACGGGTTGACTTAATCAAATGAGGAGGATCAAAAATGTAAACAATTGATTTTCCTTCTACATCAAAATAAGGCTTACTAGGGGAAACATAAAGGCTTTTTGAAAACTGCACAAAATTTGTGCCTTGGTCCGTAATAAATGCTTTAATATTCAAATTAATGATTTGCAAGCGACAAAATTATGTCCTTTAAATCAATTCCTGTACAGCTACTAGACACAAGAAAATAAGCAACTGGTTGTTTCCAGTCATAATTTAGACTTCTGATCATAAGGACCAGAGCATACTTAGCATGTTCATATTTTCTACGGTTAGAAGATTCATGGAAACCAACTATTTTATCTTTATTAACCCTGTAAAATAGATTAGTTTTTAAAGCCATTTCGTCAGCACACAAAACACAATCAAGCCAATCTGATTTTAAGCGAAAGGAAATTAAATAGAAAATCATTAAAACCAGGATTGATTTCATATTTACCAGTGATTCTTCTCAAAGTCCGACTAACTGGAAGGGACAAAGATTTTTGCATCATTCTATAAAGTTTAGGACTTACAAAATAAATATTTAAAGCAAGTTGCTTTATGTCATTAGAATACCTTTGTCCACATTGTTTCCGCTGTTTATTTTCAAATTGAGACTTGACCAGCATAAACACTGTGGGAGAGCAATGTTTCTCACACACTTTAAGGGCCGTTTCAATAGAATACGTGTCAACCATCTGCCGATGAGAATCAATCACTGATTGTAGTTCTCTTCTCTTCTTTATTTCCTCATTTAGTTTCTTCCTAAGTGCGTTCTTCCGTGGAGAACGATGAGTTAATGATGATGGAGTTTGACATTCGGATGAACATGTTTCTATTGTCATTGATGATGAATCTGATAGAATTGAACGAACAGAAGATGCATCTGAAATCAGGTGCATACCAGGTGTTAAACAGGACGGAGAACAATCATTTTCGTTGTCATTGTCATCAAAAACATAATTTTTATCAATATGTTCCTCTGCCACAACTTCAAATAATGTTGGTATTGCTTCTGGCTTAAGACGGTTGTTCTGTTCATTACTTAACATCCTGCCTTCAAAATGTAATGATCATAGCCGATACTTTTTGTTCAAAGTTACTATATCAACATTATTTAAATGACATAATTTAACATTGTCCATCCAAACTGCACATCTTTAAATTAATAAAAAATAATCAAATAATCAAATGTATGTTATATTAATTTACTCAAAAAATGTCTTACCTTGAAGGGTCCTTTGGAAAAGAAAAATGACTTATTAAATCAGGATCCAATTCAAAACTTTTGCAGTCTTTAATACAGCATTTACCTATTCTAAAGCGTTTATTTAGGAAGTCCATAATCACTGGTTGTGGCGTAAAATTACAAGAATTTCAAAATATCTAATTAAGTATTAACCGAGGACTTGTAGAGGTCTCGTGTTCACTTTTTAAGAAATATGAAAAGTGAATTTTTAAGTTTTTTACAAACCAGCCTTAAAAAAGCAGTTTGTTTACAAACAAATCTAAATAAAGCGGATGCTCCGAGTGGTTTTTTGCGACATAAATCAGAAAATAAAAATAGTTTTATTACATGGCTACACTGGTGGCACTTCAGTTCTTATCATGGTTTTTGGAGTGTCCATTCTGATTTCATCTATTCTGTGGTACAGCTGTAAGCCTGTATTTTACCGATACTATAAATACGGTTTTCTATAATTTAAATCTAAAAAAAAATCTCAATGTTCCCAATGATACGGCCGATACGGGAACAAAAATAAATATTGTTTATAGCCAAATGATTATGGTATTTTTCTTGTAGAGTGGTTAAAAATATTAAACTAGTCAATTTGAATCTTTATAAAAATTATTTTCAATCTTCATCACACAAGGTTCAGTTGGGCCCGGGGGCCCCCATACATTAACACAAGATAGGGCCTACCGGGAAAATCCCGAATTCCAGGTGGGCCTATCCGCCACTGACCGCAAATTTTGAAGTTATGTTGTGTCCATTAAAACTAAATTTAAGTAGTGCTCATAACACCTAACGTGTAGCTGCTTAGGTGATTCATTTTCAAGCCACTTTGAAAAAACATTGTACTGACGAATCATGTTTGAGGCACCATCTGTAGAACTACCTATACAATTTTTTATATTTGTTGGCTCGCGTTCAGCTTTCTATTAGATTAAAAGAAGTTGCCTTCACGGCCTATATCAGCGTTTCTTAAACTTTTTTATTTAGAAACACAAACTTGAACATAGCCGATTTTAACGGTAACTCCACTTACAAAATGTCAGTGTCACCTGTACAACAACACGAAAGAACAAAAAAAACTAGAAACTTTTAGGTGCCACTAACTTTTAGAACTACTTTACACACAAAACATTAAAGAATAGAATTTGAACACAGTAACAATAGATAACGTAATGGTCTCACACATGCACTGGGCGGTCAGCACATGACAGCTGATACTACCGTCTACCAGTGACTAGTGATAAGACCGCTACGGAACACAACAACATAAATACATGAAACTATACACATGAAAATTGCCATATTGGCTCCAACATTCTCCCCCTTTGAAATAGTTAGTGATAGTGACCACACGAACGATTCCATCATCTCCAGGATGGACCTTGGTAATTCTGACCATTTTCCACTTGAGAGATGGTATATTTTCTTCCTTTAAAATAGCCAATGAACCGACTTTGACATTGTCATTTTTTGACAGCCAGCAACCTCTTTTGGGGAGTTGTGGAAGATATTCTCCGCTCCACCTTTTCCAAAAACTTTGAGCTTGCATCTTGTCTTACTCTGTTAAGAGGTATTCCAATACTATCAGGTTCAGCGGATAGTGTTAAACTTCATCCGACTAAAAAATGGCCCGGTGTCAATTCATTGAGATCGGATGGATCATCAGATATTGGAGATATTGGACGAGAGTTCAATACAGCTTCTACTCGGCAAAGCAAGGTATTCATTTCTTCATATGTGAGAAGGCCCATTGCAGTACCTTCAGCAAATATCTTTTGGCTGATTTCACAGCCACCTCCTAGAGACCACCGAAGTGGGGCGCTGAAGGTAGTATGAAGTGCCATTGAATCTTGAGATCTGAGAGAGAGTCTTCAATTGTACTTTGTCCCCTTTCAGCTTTCCTGGATGTCATACATCCAATACATCTAATATTGACGCAATTAATGAAGATTTAATTTTGGAAAATTGGGGCAATGAAGCTTTGGGACCAGAAAAAAAAAGAAAAAAGAAGAAATACTTGGATAAAGATCCTAAAATAGTTTTATATAATGACCAAAGTCAAACCAAAAGTATTGTTATTGGAATTTTACAAAATGGGTCGTTATCAAAATTATCTCCAGTTTTAATTAACAATAAACATTTTGTGGTAACAAATACATGTGCATTCGATTCAATAGTACATGCACTATGTGTCAGCATGTGTGATAGTCCGCTTTATAATCAGTTTATTAATAGTAAAAAAGAAGATTTATTATTATTCAACTTAGTTTTTAATGCTCTTCGAGATGGCGTCAATGTCCAGACGTATAAAAAACGAGCAATCATTTTAGAAAGTATCACAGATAAAGAAAATATCCTAAAATCCAGTTATATTTATCATATAAATTCAGAAACTACCATAGAACTTCTAATACAAAAACTGTTTAAAGATTATCCTTCACGCATAATTACAAGAAATTGTGAAAACTGTCCAGCCAAGAGCTTTTTTACTAAGTTTTTAATTTCCAATATAGACAAAATACAAAATGTACAATCATCTATACAGTCTGAAGAAGAAAATTGTTATATGTGTGGAAAAATCATCGAGAATAATTTAAGGTAACATATCAGATAAGATTAAATGTATTTTTATGTTAATATAAAATTATAATTGTAATATTTTATTGTCTTTTATGTGTCTTAGGTATGGTTATCAATGATAACTTATCATATTTTCGTTCTTACAAAAAAACTTATTGATTATTGTAAAGTAAGCTCATCAAATTACGCTCAAGGAATATCATGCAAGCTAGATTCAATTCAAAAAATGTTAAACATACAAGGAAAATCATACAAACTTCGAGGAGCTATTGAATTAAAAAGAGGTATTTTTTAAAATTTCGAATGTTTTGACTGTGATATGTTATGGTATTAAGTTTTGAAGCAAAATAAATTGATTTATTCAAAAATAATTTTCTAAACGATCTACAAAGGCGTTAGTGTGATATTTGAAAAAATAGTTAACTAGAAAATTAATACCATGTCTAAATAACTTGTTGGTATATTCTTGTTTCTTCTTTAATTAGAATAATTATCCAAAACTCATTACCTAACTTTTGAGTATTAACTATACTATAGGTTTTTATTAAATCTGATCATAATATCATACCTAACTTGATTGTAGGTATAAGCAGTGAAAAAACTGGCCACATTTTATTTCATTCTTTTCGGGAAGCGCAGAACCAATGGCAAATGTTTGATGACATGCAGAAGACAGTTGTAAGAAACAGGCCAAATAAGACTGTAAACTGCGAGATGTTATTATATACCTTGTAATAATATTTTATATTTGTATTTATATTTGATTTTATATTGTTAAAAGACTAACATTAAAGGTATTTTTATAATTTAATAAATGCAGTACTTATAAATGTTTTTATACAATTTTTTGATACATAATATTAATTTCAAAGCTGTGCATATAATTTGCGTGGATTAAAGCAAAATTAGGTATATTATGTAGCATTGAAGCTACCATAATATCTACAAAAGACATATTAATCGTTTAACTAGTTTGTTCTTTAAAAAGGTGATCACTCAAAATATAATGTATACAAATATAAATAGGTATACAACAGAAAATTATGTAACAATAAGTGGTTGTATAATAATATTGACCGCAAAGTGAAAGTGGCATTATTGTGACACTTCAAATAACACTAAAATAGTGTTGGTAAGTACTAGCTATATGAATAATTAATATCGCTGATACAGGTACTGATTATATATATTAATCAATATAATAATGCATTGTAAACAAAAAAACAAGAAAACACTAAGTCTTCCTGTCTTCACAATAAAAAATTCACTGAACATGATCTACAAGAATTGAATGGTTTTTTAAATTAAATATATATATATATATATAATTATTTAATATTAATTTTTAATCAAAATCAATTTTTTTATTTAACAATGAGATTTTATCAGATTTTAAAAAGATAGATTTTTCATTAAATATACACTTATTTAATAAAATTAAGATTTTTTTATAGAATAGATTTTTCAAATATTATTTTTTATAAAAATATAGATTTTTTTAACTTAACATAACGGCATTGATTTTTATTAAACATAGATTTTTTATTAAATATCGATTTTTTCTATTCTATTTATTTTTATTTTCTATTTTAATCCACAAACGTTTGTTGGAAGAGGTTGGAAGGGGGGCACAAACGGCACAAACGATGGTCGGATTCCTGAATTTCTCAAGTGGGGGCTCCCGTTTCGTTGGCCCCCTCGGTATAAATCTGGTCGGAAGGGGGGCACAAACGTGGGACCACTGGGCACAAACGATTGGCGTGGTCAGATTCATAAATTTTTCAAGTGGGGGGCTCCCGTTTCGTTGTCCCCCCTAGGTATAAATCTGGTCGGAAGCGGGGCACAAACGTGGGACAAACGGCACAAACAGGGCACAAACGGTTGGCGTGGTCGAATTCATAAATTTCTCAAGTGGGGGGGGGCTCCCGTTTCGTTGGCCCCCCTCGGTATAAATCTGGTTGGAAGGGGGGCACAAACGTGGGACCACCGGGCACAAACGGCACAAACGATTGGCGTGGTCGAATTCATAAATTTCTCAAGTGGGGGGGGGGCGAGGAAAAGGACCTCCGACGGGAGATGAAACGCACGAGAGACGCTAAAAAGGCTTCCGTGGTAAGTCCGCTGACTAGTTCCGAGTGTATAGCGCGAGTCACTAAACAGACGAATTCTGCAACATAGCATTTAATGCTGACCACTCTGCGTATACCACTTCTAATCATGATTGGTCCACAAAAATCAACACCAGTGCTGGCAAATGTACACTCGATATTAACTCTTTCCCGTGGAAGGGGTGCCATGAATGGTGGCGGAAGAGACGGGTTAGAACGGAAACAAATTATACAGTGTCTGACAGTCTTCCTTGCAATAACTCGACCGCGAATTGGCCGGTAGTGAAGGTTGATGTTGGCTAGCGAGTTTTGCTCGCCCACCAGACACGTGCAAAATTCGGGGTCTGTCCTGCAAATTCATGCTAATTACGTTCTAAATGTTGGCATATAAAGTTTCTTATTAATATACATTTTTAATGTTGGATGGTGTTGGTGAGACGTCTCTCCAGCACCGCACATCATTTTTTGTCATACAGGTGTACATTTTGCAATGTTGGCGATATTCGTGCAAACTCATGCTAATTACATGCTAATTTCATGTAAAAAAAAATTTGAAATTTTTGAATAGGTGTTGCTGGCGAGACGGTCGTCTACTAGTCTACTAGTCCAGAACCCTACTAGTCTCGATGATAGTGTTGATGAAATTATGGTCTTACCTCTTATACAAAATTCTCCTAATTATTTGGAATTAAAATTTAATAGTTCTGAACTGGTAAATATCAATACAACTGGTGTAAAAGTATTCTAAATACACATAAGGGTACTATTTAAAAATAGTATTAATTTGTGTAAGTATATTAAATTATTTAAGAAGAAATAAAAAATATCTTTCTGCTACTTATTTTTTTCAATGTGAACAATATTATTAGAATTAGAGTCATCGTAAAATGATGTTTTTCTCCTTGTTTCTTGACTCAGTGAGGTACAAAAGAAAACTTCCACCCGGGGAAAATGGCTCTTTTGCCCCCCCCCCTTAATGCACCCTAAATCAGATATTAATATTATATTATGTTTCTTTTTTCGTTCATAAAACACATACATACTGCAACATACATACAGAAATACCAACTTTTATGCACGTCCACTGTCCACACATGTGTATAAATATAAATATTTCCCAACTATTAATTAGTTATTAACAATTTATCGTTGTGATAATAATTTCTTCAATATACTATTTTCCTAGACATGTTTTTGCGACCCCAAACCCGCATGTGTTGTCTCCGGCTTACAATAGCGTAACATACCAAATTTAATCCCAGGAGTTCACGTTTTATGCCGTTAGCTTAAAAATTGTGAGTGAATCGACCTATTATGAAACTTGATGGTAACAACATCATCTGTGTATAGATGGAAGTTTTTTTACGATAATTCAGTTTTTAAGTGAGTTATGAGCATTTTTTATTTACATTTATTATACACGCATAACTCACTTAAAAATTAAAAATAAATATAGGTTATAACGTGTCATTGGATTTCAATAAATAACTTAAATAGAATATCAAAGTCTTTAGCATTCCGTCCTTTTAAAGGTAGTCATACTTATGACAAAATTTCAGATTTAATTAATTTCTGAATTTAACTCGAGTCCTATTAAAATTGTAGCAAACGATAATGGCAGCAATTTCGTTAAGGCGTTCAAAATGTTTGGAGTTACGCTACAAAACATCGATATAGTAGAAGACGTAACTCGGAGTTATCTTTAGAATCAAATGAAAATATTATATGTTTGAAAATGTCGTAGGTCATACGATAGAAATCGAAAATAAATTGCCTGTACATTTTAGATGTTTTGCTCATACGCTTAATTTATGTGCCACTACAGACGAATAAAGTAATAAAAGTCTGTGTTGAATTGTCT